TTCTCTTGTTTGTGTCTCATTACGGAATTACTGATTTTTTTATTGCTTCAGTTTATTTTAGCTCACCAGTCTTAATTCTTGATGCCCAGTTGTATGGCTCTTTCTTATGGTGATTTTCGTGTATCTCTGACTCAGTCTTTTTTTTTTAAGATTTTATTTATTTGAGAGAGAGAGAGAGCACAAGATGGGGGAGGGTCAGAGGGAGCCTGATGTGGGACTCAATCCTGGGACTCTAGGATCATGACCTGAGCCAGACAGTCACCCAACTAACTGAGCCACCCAGGCGCCCTGACTCAGTACTTGAAATTTATTCTTGCTTTTTGAGACTTTCCCAGGCCCACCCTATACCTTCCCTATCCCAGACCAGACACCTGAATTGGTAAAAAGTGTGTTGTTCTGGTCTAAGTTTTGTAGTTTCTGTTGTATTTTTAAAAAATCAATACTAGGAGGGCATCAAGTGACTCAGTCATTGAGCATCTGCCTTTGACTCAGTCATTGAGCATCTGCCTTTGGCTCAGGTCATGATCTCGGGGTCTGGGATCGAGCCCCCGCATTGGGCTCCCTGCTCAGCTGGGAGGCCTACTTCTCCCTCTCCCGCTGCTTGTGTTCCCTCTCTCACTGTGTCTCTGTCAAATAAATAAAATCTCAATACGAGGTATTAATTTTACTTATTTACTTAACATATTTTAGTTACACAAAGGTTTTTTCCCCTTTCTTTGATTTTTGTATTGTCAGATGGTGGTCTCCCTTATCTCCTCCAGGTGTTTTGTGTGTCCAGTTAAAGCATGTCCCCATGCCTTCCACCCTCACACCGCAGTAGTGTGTATATATTCAGATTTCTTGATTTCTGTCACAATAATCAAGGGCACACGTCCCTTCCCTATACCACATCATGACTCGAATCTTTTAGAAGCCCTAGTTTGTTACTTGTTTTACTACCACAACCTGAGCAATAGGCATGCTTTTGATTTTTTATTTCATGGGAGGTGAGTCAGTTTTCTGTCTCGCAACTTGTCTTTTTCAATTTTTTTTTGGCTTCTGGCGTTTCTAATATCTATTTCCCTAGAAGATAATTCACCCTAAAACAACATTTTCAAATTGATTAGCATAGCAGTCTTAAAACAGTTTAAAAAATACCTTCTCTGGTGGTTTTCTTTCATCATTTTTTTATATTTTTTACTTACTTTTATAGGATTTCTAGCTACATCTGCTTCTGTATTTTTTGAATTCCCCCTTCACCTTTTCTTAGGTCACTATGTTGTTTCCCATCTTCTTGATTGGGATGTACACATTATGTTAATAAGGAAAAATGAAAATGAGTAAACATTTAACTCCTTACTTTTTGTGTGACTAATGATGACTTCCATAGATTTTAATATGTAATGCAGTTGATCCTTCAACAGCACAGGTTTGAACTGTGTGGGTCCACTTTCATGTGAATTTTTTGATTAAGATAGTATAATATGTGAATGTATTTTTTCTTTTCTTAAAGACTATATTGATTTGACAGAGTGCACAAGCAAGGCGTGCAGCAGGCAGAGGGGAAGAAGCAGGCTCTCCCCAGGCTAGGGAGTCAGATGCGGGGCTTGATCCCACCCTGGGATCATGACTTGAGCCAAAGGCAGACACTCAACCAACTGAACGACCCAGGTGCCCTTCTTACATTTTTAACATTTTCTTTTCTTTAGCTTACTTTATTGTATGAGTACAAGTATATAATATATAAGCATATAAAATATGTATTAATTAACTGTTCTTGGAAAGGTTTCCTCTGTCAACAGTAGGCTATTAATAGTTTGGGGTGAGTCAAAAGTTACATAATGGTTTTTGATGGTGCAGGGCATTGGCACCCTAACCCCAGTTTCGGGGTCAGCTGCATTTTCAATGTGGTCATTCTCTGAAATTATTGTAATTTCAATTACATTTCCACATTTGGTGGAAAGTCTTTCATTTTTAGGTAGAAGTACATTTTGATTTACTGATACTGGCGTTCATTTATAATTTTATTCTAATCAAATAATGGCTGCATTATTATACCTTTATTACTTACAACATAATTCAGTCACAGGAAGTTATTTTCGCCCTGTATCATCCAGTGTTTATCATTCATTTTGGATTTCCCTCCGGTTATCTCATCTAATTGCCAGTCTCTAGCCACTGTTCAACAAATTCTTTTTTACAGAGTTCCTTCCATTCTTGCTCACCTGTGCCACCTTTTCCACATCATTCTATTAGCTTCTTCCCTTTTCAGAATTGCATAAGCCTTATGGTATGATTTATACCTACTGTAATATCTAAAATATTCTGAAACTGCCTTGCAGAGCATAACAATGGTTGACTTTGAGTACAAGAAAATGAAAGAGCATGAAGGAAACATTTAAATACAGACTAGGATTTCAGTAGGATAGATGTGTCACAGTGAAAAAGCTAAATAAAAAAAAAAGCTAAATAAAAAAGCTAAAAAAAAAAGTAAATAAAATTCTTCATCTTTATTGACATGTGGGGTAAAGAAAATCATGGTTATGCAGAGCAGGAAATTAATAGCAGTGATGGAGACAGTATATGAAGTAAAGAGTCAATTAGAAAAAAATCGTTCATAAACACCACTCATGTGTGTGAATATAAATCACTGCAGTGTAGTGTGAGGGTTGGAAGGCACAGACACAAATGACTGCATTATTCTTGTATGTACCTTTTTTTTTTTTTTAATTTTGTTTGAGAGAGAGAGTCAGAGATAGTGACAGAGCACAAGCTGGGAGGAGAGGGAGAATCTGGCTCCTCACTGAGCAAGGAGCCCCATGCAGACTCGATCCCAGGATGCTGGGATCATGTCCTGAGCCAAGGGAATACCCTTAACCAACTGAGCCATCCAGATGCCCTTGTACATAATTGTTTTGATGATCAATTGTGTTACCCAGTGACTGATCCTTATAATATTTTCTTTTTGTCTTATTTAGATTTTTTGTCTTATTTAGATTCTTTTCATTCAGTGATTTAATTTCCCTGTAACTATCAACTTGTCCTTGGGGCTTGTTATTCAGTGGCATATAATGATTACATCTCTACGTCTGGAATTTAAGGAATAAGGCTAAACACCCTAACAACAGAAAGTTACCAAATACACAACTGAAAAAAAATGAAGAGTGTGAGGGCGTGCAACTAGATACTGGAACAGAAACATAAATATGAACTTACAGTCAGTTCGGACCTCATTTCTGAGGGTAGTAACTTTTAGATCTGAATAATAAAATGTGGGTGGTATGTAAAGAACCCATTTCTGGGGCGCCTGGGTGGCTCAGTGGGTTAAGCCGCTGCCTTCGGCTCAGGTCATGATCTCAGAGTCCTGAGATCGAGCCCCGCATCGGGCTCTCTGCTCTCTAGGGGAGCCTGCTTCCTCCTCTCTCTCTGCCTGCCTCTCTGCCTGCTTGTGATCTCTCTGTCAAATAAATAAATAAAATCTTTAAAAAAAAAAAAAAAAGAACCCATTTCTGAGCCGCGAAATATCTGGGTGTGGAAATTACGTTTGTTTTAAGAGGTCAGAAAAAGGGTGCCTGGGTGGCTCAGTGGGTTAAGCCTCTGCCTTCGGCTCAGGTCATGATCCCAGCGTCCTGGGATCAAGCCCCACATCAGGCTCTCTGCTCAGCAGGGTGCCTGCTTCCTCCTCTGCCTCTCTCTGCCTGCCTCTCTGCCTTCTTGTGCTCTCTGTCAAATAAAAATAAATAAATAATTAATTTTTTTTAAAAAAAGAGGTCAGAAAAAGATTAGGTGAAAGGGGATAATGGATTAAGATAGGTCTTATAAGCACCTTGATTCCACAGTAAAGTATTTGGAGTCTACGGTTAAAAAAAACAGAAACAAAAAAAAAAACATACCTGGGGTGCCTGGGTGGCTCAGTCAGGTAAGTGTCCGACACTTGATCTCAGTTCAGGTCTTGATCACAGGGTCATGCATTCAGGTCCTGCACTGGGCTCCACGTTGGGCTTTGAGCCTACTTAAAAACAAAAACAAAAACAAAATTGCTAGTTTGTATAGATTATCAGATTGTGATCTGCATTAGCTATATCTGTACATGATACTGACTTGTTCTGCATCTTTAGATGGTGATCAGTTTACCTGGATTGGTTCCCAAACACTAGCACTCTCAACAAGCTTACTAAGTGATGATCAACGCTTACATGTCAGACCCACTGACTTTATCTGTTTCCCTTATCACAAACGTCACAATTTTACATTATGCTTTCATTATTTTCTGATTTTTCTTAAAACTTCATTGAGGTATTTTAATCACTCACTTGTATCACTTGTATTGTTTGTATTCGCAGTTTTTCTCCTCTGCATTGCGTAAATGTTTCATTTTTATGGCACACGAAAACAAAAACTTTCTTTTCCCCTCTCTTCCAGATTTGGAGTCCAACTATGACCCAAAGTGTTCGTCTATTAGAAAGGACATCACTGAAAACAGTGGGTCTCAGTGCAAAGTAACAGAAAGCAAATTCATTGGTCTCGAGAGCTCCATTTTCAGAAATGACGGGCAAAGCAAAGGCAAGTCTGAAGTACAAGGACCTGAAGTGGGATATTTCAGTCCAATGAAAATCAACTCTGAAAAAGTACCCGATTACAAACATCCTAAGTCTCTTATATCACATCAGACAACTCATGATAGCAAAAACCCCCATGCATATAAGGAATATGGGAAGGTCCTTAGCTGTGACTTAAATTTTGATGACTATGAGAGAATACATACTGGTGAGAAAACATACCATCAATATAATGCATATTGGAAGACCTTTGGCGATGACCCACATACCCTACAACTGAAAATACATAGTGGTGTGAAACCTTGTAAATATATGGAATCTGAGAATGCATTTAGTTTTTATGAAGACCTTAGTATACAGAAAATGCATGATGACCAGAAGTGCTATAAATGTAAGAAATATGAAAGGACCATTAGAAGAGTTGAAGAAATACCTCCACTTCAAGTAATTCATGATGCTGAGAAACCCTATGAATGCACTTTCTGTGGTAAATCCTTTAGGGTGCATACGCAACTTACTCGACACCAGAAAATCCATACTGATGAGAAACCTTACAAATGTATGGAATGTGGCAAGGACTTTAGGTTCCATTCACAGCTCACTGAACATCAGAGAATTCATACTGGTGAGAAACCATACAAATGTATACAATGTGAGAAAGTCTTTAGAATTAGTTCACAGCTTATTGAACATCAGAGAATTCATACAGGTGAGAAGCCTTATGCATGTAAAGAATGTGGGAAGACCTTTGGAGTCTGTAGAGAACTTGCTCGACATCAGAGAATTCATACCGGAAAGAAGCCCTATGAATGCAAGGCATGTGGAAAGGTCTTTAGAAACAGTTCATCGCTGACTAGACATCAGAGAATTCATACTGGTGAGAAACCCTATAAATGCAAGGAATGTGGGAAAGCTTTTGGAGTAGGCAGTGAACTTACTCGACATCAGAGAATTCACAGTGGTCAGAAACCTTATGAATGTAAAGAGTGTGGAAAGTTCTTTAGACTTACTTCAGCACTTATTCAACATCAGAGGATTCACAGTGGTGAAAAACCTTACGAATGTAAGGTGTGTGGGAAGGCTTTCAGACATAGTTCAGCCCTTACTGAGCATCAGAGAATTCATACTGGAGAGAAACCTTATGAATGCAAGGCCTGTGGGAAGGCCTTTAGACACAGTTCCTCCTTTACAAAACATCAAAGAATTCATACTGTTAAGAAACCATATGAATGTAAGGAATGCGGGAGTGCCTTTAGTGTGGGTAAGCACCTTACTTGACATAAAAAAAAGCTGAACTGGTGTTTTGTCTTTTGAATGAAAGACATGTACAAAAGCCTTTTGCTTCTGAGTTTCACTAGGGAAGTCCATGCATTGTAATAAGAAGTAACCAAGGGGATTATGTTGCTCTTATTGTTTCCAGACTTCCGGGCAACTCTATTTAGCAGAATTACTCAGTGACAGGTGATGTATACTTTTTTTGTTAGATATTGCCAAATATTTGTTTTTATTTCTTTTTATACCAGTTAACATTCTGAATATCTGTTTAGATAGGATGGTCCCTATTCATTTCTGATAATTAGTAAAACACATTTTCCACACCTAGTAATTAGAGTCAGTTTCACGTGAATTTCCTTTCCAGACATGTTTTGTTTACATTTATTTTTCATGTTTGTGTTTTTGTTCTTCTGTCTATTCATTGTTTTTGGCTTATTAATTTGTACTATTATTCAAATAAATCTTCTGCATTCTAACTTTTTGTTACATATGATGTACTTTTCTTCCTCCAGAGAGTTAAAACTTCTAGTCGCATACTATGTATGTGGTTTAAGATTTTATTTATTTGACAGGCAGAGAGAGAGGGGGAAGCCAGCTCCCCACTGAGAAGAGAGCCCAATGTGGGGCTTGGTCCTAGGACCCTGAGATCATGACCCAAGCTGAAGGTAGAGGCTTAACCCACTGAGCCACCTAGGCGGCCCTATGTATGTGGTTTTAAAGTCTTAAGGCCCTGCCTGGTATTTTTGTAGATTTGTTTTTAATGTTAGATAAGTAATTTCCTTTCCATTGCCATCAGGTGATTGATTTCTTTTAAAATTTCTGTTTTGGGGGCACCTGGGTGGCTCAGTGGGTTAAAGCCTCTGCCTTCGGCTCAGGTCATGATCCTGGGGTCCTGGGATCGAGCACCACGTCAGGCTCTCTGCTCAGCAGGGAGCCTGCTTCCTTCTCTCTCTCTGCCTCTCTGCCTCCTTGTGATCTTTCTCTGTTAGATGGATAAATAAAATCTTAAAAAAAAAATTGTTTTGACATGACAGACTTGCCTGCCTACCTACCTACCACAACACAATTCCTTTAAAGAGCCTTTGACATCTAGGCAGTACCAAAGGGCATCCAAAGGAAAGGGGCACTTTTAAATCTTTTGTAAAATTTACTAAGACATTCATATCTGTCTCTTAAGATTAAAGGAGGAGAAAATCTACAACTATTGTAATGATTATAAACTTAGTAAACTTACATTTGGAGGGTCTACAACTCTATTATTACCATGGCTTCAATTGGGTTTTGTATATTTATACTTTTTGTTCCCTGTTAGTGTTGCCTTGCTGGGTTGTGGCAGCTTAACAATCAATAGAACTTTGATTTTAGAAAGGAAAGGAAATACAAAAGAAAAAAATTAGTGTACAGAGATAAAATTGCAATTCTTAATTGTCCATCATCTTCTTTAGTCAGGAGAGTTGACCTGGTTATGCAATTAATGTTAATTATGAGCCACTGGTTATTAGGTGTTTATAAGAAAATTTAACTATTGTTAGATACAGTTAAATCACCATTAGGGAGATTTTAGTTTTTCAAACTGGTCTTCCCCAGAATTTTTGGGCTCTAAAGTTTTTGCATAACCCAGCAATATTCTTATTGGATACACTGAGTTGTTTTGCTTTAAATATTCCTAATTAGTATTTTATTTAAATTAGCAATTTTAAAAAATATATACTTAGGGGTGCCTGGGTGGCTCAGTTAGTTAAGCATCTGCCTTTGGCTCAGGTCATGATCTCAGGGTCCTGGGATTGGGCTCCTTGCTCAGTGGGGAATCTGCTTCTCCTTCTCCCCAGTGCTTTCTCTCTTGCTTACTCACTCTTTCTCAAATAAGTAAATAAAATATTTAAACTATATATATATAGATAGATATACACACACACACACATAGACACACATATGTACACACACATATATACATATATACATAAAGTATGTGTGTATGTGTGTATACACATACATACACACACATTTGGTAGATATATCATGCTACAAAATAAGAATGAGTCTCTGTTGTTAATCTTTTTATTAGGATATATGCTATTTAATGTCTTTAAATAGTTCAACTCTATTTTTTTAAGGTTTAAAAAAAAATTTACTCATGAGAGACAGAGAGAGGCAAAGGGGAAGCAGGCTCCCCCATGGAGCAGGGAGCCCAATGTGGGACTCAATCCCAGGACCCTAGGATCATGACCTGAGCTAAAGGCAGATGCTTAATGGACTGAGCCACCCAGGCACCAATTCAACTCTATTCTATTACAATCCTATTTACTGGGCTATAATGTGATCACACTGCTGATTTGCTCTTTGATCCCATTTTATTTGGTTATTCTGAGTTACCATCAATGCTGATTTCTTTCTCTCTTATTGTTAATACTTTAGAACTACTGGCCTACTTGCCTTATACGCCTTTGTGTATTTTATAATTTTCCTTTTCGCTGACCTGAACAAATTACATATACATATACACTTAAAAATTGACAGAAACAAAATAACCATGTATCTTGGCACTTACCTTTTGAAATGATTAATAAGTAAATGAAAATTTGATAAATACAAGATATCCTTATTATGTCTTATTTGTAATTACAGCTGTATTTTGGTCACATTACATTAACATTTTTCTTTGGACTTTGTTAAGAATTCCTGTCATTTCACAGAGTGCTGATACAATAAACCATAATGTAATTATTGCTATTAACTTTTTTTTTTTTTGGCTACTTCTCTTCGGTGCTCAAATTGTTAAAACATCATTTCTTTCCATTTTCATGTGGTACTTTATCCTTTCCACATTTTCCCTAGTCTACATACAAGTTTTTTGGGTTTTTTCCCCCCAAATACAAGAGAATGTTCCACCCACTATCTTGTTTACTGTTGCAGTGAACCCTGAAATTAGCTTCCAATAATGGAATCCTTTTTCCATTTAGTGGTGAAGAATTCTAATTAATAAATGTAAAAGAAATGAGGAAGATAGGAAAACACTGTAATAATAGTAATAATTACATACAAAATTCATTGATGGATACTAAAACATAAAGGCAAAAGTTTAAAGAGAAACAAGCCATTAGAATTATATCAAAGTGTCTATCCCAAATATATATATATTGGGATATATTACAAGGAGAAAACATTCCATATACCACCTTTTTGAAATGATCACCAGTAGTAAGACATGGGCATATATACTACCCAGAGTGAGGCACTAAGAAGGGCTTACCGTGGGAGTAGTAGTCTGACTTAAGTATGGGAAAAAAAAAAAAAAAACCCGCTGGGGCAAGTGAGAGCCAGACGGGCACTGGGTGACTCTGTGCCTCACTGAGGAAAGTAAACATGGGCAAAGGAGATCCTAAGAGGGAAAACATCATCATATGCATTCTTTGTGCCAACTTGCCAAGAGGAGCACAAAAAGAAGCACCCAGATGCTTCAGTCAGCTTCTCAAAGTTTTCTAAGAAGTGCTCAGAAAGGTGGAAGGGAAAGGAAAATTTGAAGAGATGGCAAAGGCGGACAAGGCCTGTTATGAAAGAGAAATGAAAACTTCTGTCCCCCCTCCAGGGGAAACAAGAAGTTCAAGGATTCCAATGCACCCAAGAGGCCTCCATCGGCCTTTTTCTTGTTTTGTTCTTAGGACAGCCCAGAAATAAAAGGAGATCATCCTGGCCTATCCGGTGGTGATGCTGCAAAGAAACTGAGAGAAATGTGGAATGACGCTGCTGCAGAGAACGAACAGCCTTATGACAAGAAGCCTGCTAAGCTGAAGGAAAAACATGATAAGGACATCGCTGCATACCGAGCTAAAGGAAAGCCTGATGCGGCAAAGAAGGGAGTTGTCCAGGCTGAAAAGAGCAAGAAAAAGAAGGAAGATGAGGAAGATGAGGGGGGGGGCAAATGAAGAAGATGATGATGATGAGTAAGGCGGCTCTAGCAGGTTTTTTGGTCTCTAAAGCATTTAACTCCCCTGTATACAACTCAGTCCTTTAAAAAAATTTTAACATAGGGCTGTGTAAGATTTGTTTTTAAACTGTACAGTGTCTTTTTTTGTATAGTTAACACACTACTGAATGTGTCTTTAGATAGCCCTGTCCTGATGGTATTTTTAAACATTTTATTTATTTATTTGACAGAAAGAGAGAGATCACAAGTAGGCAGAGAGGCAGGCAGAGAGAGGGGGAAGCAGGCTCCCCGCTGAGCAGAGAGCCCGATGCGGGGCTCGATCCCAGGACCCTGAGATCACGACCCGAGCCAAAGGCAGAGGCTTAACCCACTGAGCCACCCAGGCGCCCCAAGAACAGAACTTTAAAAAAAATACCGTTTGTGGGGCACCTGGGTGGCTCGGTGGGTTAAAGCCTCTGCCTTTGGCTCGGGTCGTGATCCCAGGGTCCTAGGATCAAGCCCCATATCAGGCTCTCTGCTCGGTGGGGAGCCTGCTTCCCCCTCTCTCTCTCTCTCTCTGTCTGCCTCTCTGCCCAATTGTGATCTCTGTCAAATAAATAAATAAAATCTTTTAAAAAAAAAATACTGTTTGCAGTCAAAATGGGAGAATAGACTGGATTTACCTTCCTGCCCAAAGTAACACAGATAAAATACAAGCAGCAACTGTTTTCAGATACTGAACAATGGACAGCAGAAACACCTAACCAAGTGTAAACAAATGTGATATCTATATTTTTGACTCTATTTACTTCCTAGTAGATATTTCCACATCTCAGCACAGGAAGGAGGAATACAGGGGGAGCATCGTGATGCCAAGATGGAGATGAGAGTCCAGGGAGGCACAGAAAGCTAGTTTGCAGGCCTGACTACTAGAGCAAATCTTGATCAGTGCATGGAGGTAACCACCTGAAGCCAGCAAAAGAAATGCTTAGAAAAAGCACAGGTAACCCTTGGGAGCTCACACAGCCAGGAACAGTTTGTGTCCCCGTCATCCAGAGCAATAAATTTCATGATATAA